CTGACTGAAAATCAGAATCGCTGTAACCCAGCGGAGACAAACTGTCTGCCCGGTAAGCTAACATGTACTCCTTAGTCCTTCGCAGGTACTTGAGTATATGTTTCACCGCAGCCCAATGTTCCATTCCTGGATTACTCTGATATCTGGCTACCATGTCAACGGCGTAGCTAATATCAGGCCTAGTGCACAACATTGCATACATGAGACTTCCTACTGCCGAAGCATAAGGAATTGTCTTCATGTCCTCTATCTCCTCAGTCGTCTTAGGAGACAACTCCTTAGACAAATGTACTCCATGTCTGAAAGGTAATGTACCTCTCTTAGAGTTCTGCATACTGAATCTGGCCAAGACAGTATCTATATATGAAGACAGGGATAAGCACATCATTCTTTTCTCACGATCACGAATGATCTTGATACCAAGAATGTGTCCTGCTTCACCCAAGTCCTTCATATCAAACTGCTTAGACAACCACGCCTTTACGTCCGACAACTCCTTCTTGTTGTTGCCAATAAGAAGTATGTCATCCACGTATAGCACAAGAAACACCACCACGCTTCCACTAATCTTCTTGTATACACAGTGCTCATCCGGACATTGAGTAAATCCATATGACTGGATTACCTCATTAAACCGAATATTCCAAGACCTTGAGGCTTGCTTCAGTCCATAAATGGACCGATTAAGCTTACAAACTAAGTGCTCATGCCCTTTTGCAATGAATCCTTCTGGTTGCTGCATATAGATGTCTTCCTGAAGGTTCCCATTAAGGAAAGCCGTCTTAACATCCATCTGCCACACTTCATAATCCATATGAGTGGCTACAGCTAAGAGAATCCGAATGAATTTTAGCATAGCTACTGGCGAAAAGGTTTCATCATAATCGATACCCTCTTTCTGGGTATAACCTTTCGCAACAAGCCTAGCTTTAAAGGTTTCCACCTTTCCATCCGATCCCCTCTTTCTCTTGTAAACCCACTTGCATCCAATGGGACGTATCCCAATGGGACGTATCCCATCGGGTGGTTCTACAAGATCCCAGGCCTGATTGGTGTCCATAGACCCCATCTCAACTTTCATTGCAACCTTCCACGAATT